TAAAAGAATCAGACAAGAAACCCATAGAAGTACAACAAAGAAGCTACCCTAGAAAGAAAACGAAAAAAAATCTTTTTTTTTTATAGTTATTATTTACAACCCCTTCACCCCCACACTTAAGCTATGACATGTCCCCATGGCATAAAGAAAATGCAAAAGTAAAGGAAACTTCCCTGACTCTCTTTAGTCGGTGTCGGAAATAGTGTCTGGATCCCTTGTGCAGGTTTGGCCAAGCGCACGCACCCATGCTATAATCTTTTTATCCGACTTGGTTGTCTTAAATGTGAGCTCATCCACCTTCTTCATATTGAATACTACCTTTTCCTTTCCAACTCTAAGCATCAATTTCGCTTCATACACATCAAGTATTGCTCTACCAGTAGCTAGGAATGGTCGGCCAAGAATTAATGGAACCTCCTTATTTTCTTCCATGTCCACCACGATAAAATCTACTGGAAACACAAACTTGTCCACCCTAACTAGAACATCTTCAACTATCCCTTCAAGAATAATGGTGGATTGGTCAGCCAACTGTAAGGACATTGGGATAGATTTTATGATTCCAAGCTCTCTTTCCAACTTTTTGAATATGGCCAAAGGCAAGAGGTTTATAGAGGCTCCTGAGTCGCATAATGACTTCTCAAATCTAACATTTCCTATAGCACAAGGAATAGTGAAACTACCCGGATCACCACATTTCTGAGGTAATTTATTTTGAAGGATGGCACTACAATGAGCATTAAGCTTAACTACTGATGTTTCCTCCAATTTTCTCTTGCTAGATAGAACTTCCTTTAGGAACTTTGCATATGCAGGAATTTGCGTGACAACCTCTATAAATGGTATATTTACATGTAGTTGTTTTAGCATCTCAAGGAACTTTCCAAAACATTTATCAAGCTTTTCTCGTTTCATCTTCTGTGGAAAAGGCAATGGAGTCATATGTTTTGTATCCCCATCAACTTCCGACTTGTCCTTACCCTTCTTGATTTTATGAGATTCTTTTGTCTCCACTTGGCTTTCCCTTGACTTCTCTTTTGACCTCTGACAATTTTCACTCAACATCTTCCCAGAACGCAATGTTACAGCCTTCAAATCTTTTGGATTCTTCACTGTGTCACTTGGTAGAGTTCCTGGAGTTCTTTCAGAAATTTGATTTGCAATCTGTCCCACTTGCTTCTCCAAATTGCGAATAGAATCACTTTGATTTTCAAACTTCTCATCTACCTTGGTGATGAAACTTTTAAACATCTCCTCCAAATTGGATTGGTTTCCTTGTTGTCCCTGCTGAGGTTGATATTGTGGTCGCTGATAATTCTGATACCCCTGGGGTGCTTGTCCCCGTCCTCTCGCATTGTTCTGTTGCCAAGCATTCAAACTACCATTCGGTGCACTCCACGAGAATCCGGGATGTTTTTGCCCCATTGCATTGAAATTGTTCCCTCTATTATAGTTTCCAACAACATTAACCTCTTCATCCGCAAGTGGAACTTGTTGACATTCATGAGTAGGATGTCCTCTTGCACAAAAATCACAGATTATTGATTGTCTCATTTGAGCCTGCGCAAGAGTCAGCTGCTTCACATCCTTTGCAATCGATGCAATTTGCGCTTGCAAGGTAGTGTAGGTATCTACTTGATGCACCCCTGCACTCTTCTTTCTTTCAGAATTCTCTACAACCCACTGATTAGCATCCTCTGCAAGTTCATCAAGAATTTCAATTGCTTCTTCAGCTGTCTTCTTCATGATTGGTCCTCCCACTGCATTATTTAATATCCTCCGTGACGCAGGCGATAACCCTTCCCAGAAATTTGTCAACTGCAACCATGGCTCTATTCCGTTATGTGGACACTTCCTCAACAATTCTTTAAATCTTTCCCATGCTTCAAACACTGTTTCTGACTCTAGTTGACTGAAATTGCTGATCTCCTTCCTCATTCTAGCTGTTTTTGCTGGTGAGAAATACTTATCAAGAAACTTTGTCGTCATTTCATTCCAGGTGCGGATTGATCCTGCAGGTAAACTTCGTAGCCAGATCTTAGCATCATCCTTCAAAGAGAAAGGAAATGCCCTTAAGTATATAGCATCGTCTGAAGCTCCATTGTAGTGAAAAGTGTTCATGATTTCATCGAAATCCATCAGATGACTGGTTGGATCCTCATTCTGCTTCCCTCTGAAAACACAGTTATTTTGTATTGCTTGGAGAACACTATGTTTGATTTCAAAGTTATTTGCAGCAACTGGAGGACATCTTACACTGGACTGCATCCCATTGTAATTTGGCTTAGCATAGTCTCCTAGCAATCTCCCCGCCCTTCCATTATTTTGATCCATTTGATCTTCCACTTCAACAGGAAGGCGGTGGATTCGTCGGTTAACAACCCCAGGATTTTCAGCATCATCTTCAATCCCCAGTCGATTCAGGTTATCCGGATTGACTGGGTCATTCAAACCTCTATTACCAGCATTTATATCACCCATTGTATTAAACCCTTGAGGCTGCTGTGAAACCCTTTCTGCAAGTTCCTTCTTAAGCAAGCGTAAAGTTTTTTCCAACTCTGGATTGTATTCGATAACTTCTTTTGAGGAAGATCGTGTCATGCACCAAAGTTGTGGTTAATCCCTGTTTCCTGCAATAATATGAACTTGAGATATTAACTAAACAAACAATTAAAATAAACCTGAATTAATACACAAAACTCTATGAAAACTACTTGTTGCCAATCCCCGGCAGCGGTGCCAAAATTTGACGAGCACAAACACACTATAAGTTTAATGCTTCGCTAGTCAAAGATAGTATAGTATAAAGATCGTTTCCACAGGGATTGGTACAAATAATAATTCAATCAAATCTTGCTAATTATTATTCAGGTGATCAAAAGAAAAGAGTTGATTGTGGTTATGAACCACTTTTATAGACTAAATGATAATTAAAATCAATTGGTAAACTATGAAGATTAATATCAATACTAAAAGATAGGGTACAAGACTAACAAGTGCATAATGATAGTTAGGATTTGATTCATTCATTTACCACATCTAAAGTTCTATCGATTCTCTCGAATTCGATAGCTTATTAGAGTATCCTTTAAGCCTTAGATTTTTCTTCCGAATAAATCTCAAGTTAAAGAATAAACCAATTATACCCAAGTGATTCTAATATGCAAAAACATGTTAATGATTGTTCTTAAGGAAGTAACGTCCTTCGACTATTTTTCCTTTAGATTTAATCAATAATTATCAAGAAGCTCCTTCGATTACTTCAGAGAAAATATATCGATTCAATCCAACCAAACTATGCAACAATATTCACCAAGATACTCCTCTTTCGATTAAATAAAATAATGAACCAGGTTGCAATTTAATTCCAATTTCCATAACAAGTTCAAGCATAAGAATGAAAATCAAAATCCCAACAGATTCATCAATACAACATGTTTGTCAAATACCCTCTAAGAATCTACTCCATGGATGAAAATAAGTTTACTAAGAACAAAAGAGAAAAAGAAAACATAGCCATCAAACTTTGAATCCCAACTTCCGTTTTGGATTCGAGTCGTGTACCACGTCTTCCCCTTCCTCTCCTAGTCGTCGCCTCTCTGCTCCTCCTCCTGGTTTGGGGAAAGCTCCAACATCATATAGCATAGGGTTTTCCTTCGAAATTCCAAAAACACCCTTCATTTAATGATTTCACGCCTCCTCGCCGCGCGGGGGCGCCGCTGGAAACCCAAGCGCGCGACCGGTGCGCGGAGAGGTAGTAGCTGCTTTAATGTGTCCACACGGGCGCGCTGCCGAACACTTGAGCACACGACCACCGCGTGGGCAGATAGCTTAGCAAATGTACATTTTGTTCTCTTTTTTCTTTCTTTAGCATTCTTGTTGGCCTTTCTCACTAAACATGCTTAACACTTGAATTTGCACACCTACACATATGAAACATAGACAATTAATTGCAAAGTTTACATTTAAAACTTGTCTAAATTCATCTCATTTAATTACCCATCAATAAAGTGTCCACATATTTTATTCCTATATGCATTGTGCACCTTTAGAAGAACGACTCTCCGAAATTCTCCTCAACAAAGCAGAGATATTGTTTCTTTCCGATAGATCCTCGGCTAAACAAAATAAGTATATTTTAACTTGAGATCACCCATAGTATTTTAACTATTTACACTTTTCATAGGGATAAATCAAAAAAAATATATTGAGGAAATGCGATGAGACAAGATATGATGCAATTTTGGATTACTAAGAATATGATCTTACATAAAAATGGTGTTGATGACACGTATGGGTAGAAGGTTAGTAGGTAATATAGTGTTGAGCTTATGATGGTTAATGTTTGCCAGTGTACTAATTGTATTACTACTATATATAAATCTTATTTTTGATATCCATCTGTATTTATTATCGTTTCATTAATCCATCCTAATATATAGTTTATTGTATCTCGATTATTGCACTGCTTTATTCTTGTTGTTGCTCTCTACTGGTAGATTTTGACTGTCTTATTGCGACGTGCTATATTTTCTTCTTTATATCTGAAATAATTGTATTTGAGCCAAAGATCTTTCAAAAACAACTTTTCTATCTCCACTCAATAATATTCAATAGTGATAAAGTCTATATATACATAAAATTTCACTGAATATATTATTATCGTCGTCAATACTTTTCACCCCTCTCTTTTGTGGGTCACACACACAAAACCATTTTTTTTTTTGAAAAAAATGATGAGATGTGCTGTCAATATAACTTTAAACAATAAGGCCTGTCCATGCCCCTTGCCCCCCACCCACTCCCCACCCCCACCCCCACCCCCTCTGTATATTGTACCATCCATAAGCACCTTGTAACAGTTAGAACCCAAAAAAAAGTGAAAAGAAAAAGAAGGGTCCATTCCATTTCCATCATACCAAAAAAGCAAAAGCTAAAGAAAAAAAGCAAAAAAAAAAAAAAAAAAAAGAGATTAAAAAGAAAGAATTCAAACAAGAACAAGGGTTTTCTTCTTTGTTTACTTTCTTAGTGAAAAAAAAAAATAAGAAAAAAAAATGCAGAATCAACAACAGCTACAGACACTGATGCAAGCTGGTCAGATTTCAGGGAGTTTGAGTTTTAATGGAAATTTAAGTAAAGAAGATGAAGAAATGTCAAAATCTGCACTTTCAACCTTTAAAGCTAAGGAAGAAGAGATTGAAAAAAAAGAAACTTGAAGTTAAGGAGAAAGTTCAAGCTCAGTTGGGTCGTATTGAAGAGGAAACTAGACGTTTGGCTATTATTCGTGAGGTTTGTTTACATTTTCTTGAAATTTAGTGATAAAGTTGGGATTTTTTGTGGGATTTTATGTATTTTTTTTTATTAAAGATTGTTTTTTTTAAGTATGGGGTTTTGATTTTTTTTAGGTCAAGAACTGTAATTAGCTTTAGAGTTGTTAGTGTTATGAGGTTTGTTTACTGTTTTTGACAAAAAAAATTTAAGCTTCTTGAAATTTAGTTAAAAAGTTGAGATTTTTGGTGGATTTTCTGTATATTTTAAGATTAAAGATTGTTTTTTTAAGCATGGGGTTTTGATTTTTTAGCTCAAGAACTGTAATTAGCTTTAGAGTTGTTAGTATTATGAGGTTTGTTTACTTTTTTTTGACAAAAAAAAACATTTAAACTTCTTGAAATTTAGTGTAAAAAGTTGAGATTTTATGGTGGGATTTTCTGTATGTTTTAGATTAAAGATTGTTTTTTTAAGTATGGAGTTTGAGATTTTAGCTCAAGAAGCTGTAATTAGCTTTAGACTTGTTAGTATTATGAGGTTTGTTTACAACTTTTTTTTTTGGACAAAAAAAGCTTACAGCTTTCTGTTCATTGCCTTAAAGTTGGAATTTTTTTGTGGGGTTTGTGCATATTTGAAGATTAAAGATTGGTGTTTGTGTGGTTTTGATTTTTAAGCTCAAGAACTTGAAATAGCTTGTTATGAGGGTTTGTTTACTGTTTTTTGACTAAAAAGGGTTACAACTTTCTCTTCATTCTTGAATTTTGAGCCTGGGAATTTAGCCTTAAAGTTGGGAAATTTTTTTGTGGGGTTTTTCTGCATACTTGAAGATTAAAAATTGGTGTGTTCTGGGGTTTGATTTTCTTGGATTTTGAACTGGAAGTTTGGCCTGTTCTTTGTTTTTTTTTTTTTACAAGTATGGGGTTTGATTTTCTCTTATTTTTGAGCATTTTAGGGAAGAAGGAGCTCTAAAAGAACTCTGATCTATCTAATCCTCTTCTATAAAATTATGGTTTTCTGCATAATCTGGTTTTGTAATTATATTTTGTCAGTTAACATTGGTACAACAATGTGTATAAATTTTGGAAATTTGTACTGTTGACAAGGGTAGCTCTTGTTATTGTGGAAAGATCAAGATTTGCCAGTTTATACAACAACATACTCGGTGTAATACAACAAGTGTGGGGGTCTAGGGAGGGTAGTCTGTACGTTTCCGAATTATTGGTACAATATGTCGTAAATTTGGGAAAATTTGAACTGTTGTGAAGGGTAATTTACTTCAGATCAAGTTTCTTCACAGTCTATATATATAAAACTCATGAAGTTCAAACTAAATTTTATCAGGAACTAGAAGCATTATCAGATCCAATGAAGAAAGAAGTTTCAACGGTCCGAAAGAAGGTTGATATTGTCAACAAGGAGTTAAAACCCCTGGGCCAGACTTGCCAGAAGAAGGTATAAAACATATTATTTGCCACTTCATTCTTGACTTTACTCTCACCATTTTCTGCTTGCATTATAATATATAGTCTAGGCGTTGTCTTTTTCCTTTAATAGACCGATCCATGTCAGTTTGTACTCACCTCGACTAATACTTGCTACTTCCAATTAGCTTAGGTATCTGGTGATTTGCTAACTAAGGGTTGGGTGGATGTCGTTGATTCACTTAACATTTTTCATCTACATAGCCTGTACGATGTACTTTTGTCCTTTTGTCGTGTTAGTAGTTAGCTCGACTTGTGCTTGCTACTACATCCAACTTGCTTTAGTTATTAGGTGATTTTACCAACTAAGGGTTAGTCGATGGCATTAATTCACTGTGTTTTTTTCGTCTACATAGCCCGTTCGATGTATTTTTGTCCTTTTCTTGTGTTTTGAACTCTCTATTTATTGTTTAAAGATCTTTTTCATTGGCATGGGGGTCATGTTGGCTGGGTAATAATTCTTCTAGATGGTAGATCTATCAATCTATGTTGTTCGGAACTTCCAAAAATGTTTTTACACCCATGTAGTATGCTTAAAAAATGCATAGCTTTTGGAGGATCCAACACATACGTGATGATTTTGAAGAGTTGAGCAACATAGACATTAATATATTGAATTCATCTGACTTTACTTTACCGGCGAGATGGGATTTACTACTTATACTGATATACGAGATTCTTGATTGTGGCAATTTCAATCTGTGACTACAGGAGAGAGAATACAAAGAAGCTCTCGAGGCCTTCAACGAAAAACACAAGGAAAAAGTACAACTTATAACAAGATTGATGGAGGTGAATACAAATTCATTGATGTTCTCGTTTTCAAATTATTTTATTCGTGTGAGTACATTTAGAACGTTTTTCTGTGTCTGATCGTAATGTTTCATCGTATGTGTAATTAGCTGGTGGGCGAAAGCGAGAAAATGAGGATGAAGAAGTTGGAGGAGCTGAGCAAGAGCGTAGAAACGATTCGTTGAAAGATAAATCACCTTTAAAAAGCTCATCAGTGACTACTAAATTAGGCTTGTGTGATATATTTAAGATCGATAATCGAAATTTCTATTTATTATATGGTTGTTTTCGCGTTTGGTGGGGTGTATTCTTTCTTCTTATTTTCGCGCTTTATGTCGTTCTCTGTTCATTTTTAGGCTTTTGAAGGATGATGATCTAATTTTAGGTGTCAAAAGGGAAATACCCTTGTAAACATGTTTGTAACTAAAACAGGTCTTCTCTCAAGCTGTGGATTCTTTGGTTCAATTATTCTCTTCTTTTATATCTCTGTATTTTTCGATGTATCGTTTAGTTTGGTTGAAATTGAATTATGTGAAGAAAAGTTAACGATCGAATTGTCTTGTATTTATGTGATTTAGTTTGATTCAGCACAAAATTTAAGAATGAAAGGAAGTTTTGATTCTTCCTAATTGTTGGCTAACTTTTAAGTGTTTTTTTTAATATCAAGTTATTTTGTATTTGTGGAAATGAAGCAAAATATGTTTTGACTATAAAAGCATGTTGCTATGCATGTAGTTTGTTGTTCTTTGATTTTGTTGATATTTGTTGTTTCTTCTAGTTCGATTGTAGTATTTGTTTTGCTATTAACTCTTGTCTTGAGACTTGTATTATGTCTTTTTCTATTCTATTTTCGTCTCGATCCAATGATTTATCAAAAATCGTCTCTCTACCTTATCTGTGTATATGCTATCCTCTCTTGACCTTGTGGAAACACATATAAAAAGGTACAACTCTTTTCGAAGTGGATGGGAAAAATGATGTCATATAAAATGAAAGAGTACATATCAAACACTTATAATACCGAGCAAGAATAAAAGGTATTTATCATGCACATATCTTCTTTGTAACGTTCTAATTTTATCGAACGTTCTCAAAGACAATCATGCTAATATACTATTCATTTGTGGTCCTTCTCTACCTCCAGACCCATCTTTGTGTACTCTATCCTGCGTTAGGATTGCTTTTCTATCTAACTAATTTGAATTCGTGCTGAAAAATTTCACTCTAACGAGTAAAATACTTAATATCAAAATTGTCAAATGCATTAAAGTAGTAGTATAGGAGGAGTCTCTAGAAAAGAGTAAAACTTATTAGATTCCATTGGGAATTAAAGCTATGATACAAAAAAAATAAAGAAGTCTAACTTTAGCTATAAAAGCTAACAACTTTACCTAGAAAAAAAAAAAGTAAAAGCTAAATTGATTACTTGCAATATACTATATCTTTAATAGGGATTTTAACCCTATCTTTTAAAAAATTGACTAACTTTATTCTATGTGACGTGTTTGAATAAACTTAGATAATACTATATGGTAAAATAATTAATGTATTTTATGAGTTAATTTTAATTTAATAGTTGTAAGGAGAAACCTAGAGCTTTACAATGTTGACATTTGAGGAGTTTTTGTTTATAACAAGAAAAAAAGGAAATAGTGTTCAACTACTTCCTCACACCAAACGTGATTTAATTATGATAACGATAATTTTAGTGAAATTTTACAAGTTGAGTATAGGAAAAATAGTCTAATCTCATTAGTGAGATTAAGAAAGAATAAGATGCATGCAGATCAAGTCCAATCTTTATAGGATAGGAAAGATGATTCCGCAATATCTTTCATTGTAAACATCAAAAGTGGAGCATATTATGAGCATGATGAACTCAATTATTTTTTTTATCTTTTACGAGATAGCGATAAGTCTGTATACACATCACTTTTTTCAAATTTGAGTTATGAGATTACGCGGACTACGTTAATGTTCTTAGAAGAAGGAGGAGAAAATAGTAGGGAATATAACCGTTGGAGTAGACAAAACTGATACCAACTATAACATGGTGCCAATTTGTATAGTATTTGGGGATTTGAAAAGAAAACAGCCAAAATATTTCTTTTATCTTATACTCCAACGGTACTATAATTGCTCTCAAGTCAACAAGACTTCCAAACATAGTCATATGTGGTGTTCAGACCAGTTTACGTATATTTTCAATTAATTTATTTCAAGTTAAATGATGTCACATAAATTGAGACGAAAAAAATTATAATTAGGGATAGTATGATAAAAATATTATTTTATTTAGAACTACTTTTTAAAAGATATGTCAAATTGAATATGAACAAGTAAATATGAACGGAGACATGAATGACTTCATTTTAAGTTCTCCAAGTGTCTTCAAAACTAGTACTTATTGATTATTCTAAGGTAAACTTGGCTTTCAAGTTCAAAAATCTCAGTCTGCTTAATAAAAGTATGTAAAAGAGGTGCCTAGTAAAAAGCAATCCCTTTTGTTATTTCACATGATGCTCTATTCCTATTCGTTTTGAAATTCAATTAATTTGTATTTATGTCAAAAAAAGAGGGCAAAGCTAGGAAACTCAATAAAAGTTATACGAAACCTCTTAATTTAACGTAAAATTACATTACGTATAAAAAGTTATTAGATGTTGAATCATCTACCATTCTTTGTCTGTTTACTTTATTATATTTTGGATCTTCTTTATAAAAAGTTCTTATTCCACCCCTAGCTAGAAGTTTCACTTTAAGGGTAGAGATCGAACTTCATACCAAAGGAGATTACTTTTTCAAAACTCGTACCCAAGACTTTTAATTAAGGATGAAGTAATATTTACTTTTTTATTTCTTATGCCTTCAAAATTCGGAATTTGAACATTCCCTTGAAAAATATTATTTACAAAACTCAAACACGATATATCTGATTAAAGGGTCATTCAATTACTTCCAATAATGTAAAGCCAAATTGGGTTTAGGAATATACTCTCTTGAGCCCATTTTGCATTTTTTATCCTAGTCCATTCTTATTTGGGCTAAATCAATCAAGTATCTTGAAGTTGTGTAACCATAATTCATGATTTTAAATTCCCTTTTTTAAGGATCACTATTTAAAGCCTAACCAAAATTCATCATTTTTTTTTATGTAATTCTAGTTGTTTTAAAATTAAACTTTAGCAAAAAAGTTGTGTAACGAAATTCCAAAGATGGTTCATTAAGTTAAATAGTTTGAAAAAGCTAATATCACATAAATAGTAGGATCACTTCTAGAAAGATAGACTTTTTTTCTCCGTGATCACTGAGAAATTTGTGTTATAAAGCATAATTTTGTCACCCAACACTTGGAAAACATATCGTGGAAAATAAATTCTCACAGAAATACTGGAAAACTTCCTAATTTTTCCGTATGGAAACACAACTATTTTTTTTCTCACTAATTCAATCAAAATATTTGTGATGATATCCATTGAATATTTTTCGGTAGAAAATATTTCAAATGAAAAAAGTAGTGATTTTTAGTAGCGGATGAAAATAAGTTACCAAGTATATAAATCTGTTCAAATTTGGGCCAGTTTCTATTTGGGCCCATTCAATTAGTCTTCTTAATATCACTACTTTTGGGCTAATCTGCTTTGGATCAGTAAATCCATACAATTGGGCTGGTCTTAGTTTAGAGCGTAGTTACAAAACGTAAATATAATATATGAAACATAGCTACAATTATTGTATCAGTAAAAAAGTTGTATTCAGAAGGATATTTGTTGTATCAGATGGTATATGTCGTATATTAATTAGTTTTATCAACATATATCATATCCATTAAAGCGCGTGAAAGACCTGTATCAACGCGTGTGTATGTATTATTAATTTGCTACTTAATCCAAAATGTAAATACGTTACATAATTTTCTGAAATTATAACTATGTATCGTAAATACAATCTAAATATTTATCACCTCGGTATAATTTTTCCCTTTTTACCAAAGATGTATTACTGATTTTTTCATGGCTCAAACTACTCTTGCAAACATATGTGAATTCAAGATTTGAACAATGATTAGTTCAATTATGTCACTATTGGAAATTTCAGTGGTTGTTTGAGTGTGTAATATTCCTAATATTATTTTCTTTTTAATTGATTTCAATAAAGTTCGGAACCTAAATGATGGAAAAATATTAGATAGACCAAAATTATTGTGATATACATCTCCTTAAGTCTCTATAACCCCATTTTACATGTACTTTTTCAAACTATCAATTTTTTTTCAAAAAAAATTCTGTTATCTTTTATTTTATGTTGATTAATTAATTAGATATTTGTTAAATGAAGGTTCATTTCATGTAGTCATGAGGTGGGTAGATGGCTAGAGAAGAAGTTTTGGAATTTATCCAAAGCAGACAACAAAAATCATGTAATTTTGTTTTATATTTGACTGAATATTTGGCCTTACCTAATTATTTCACCATATATTTTGTGCAATCCAAATACCATAGTCCAAAATTAGGAAAATAGAAATAAAAAAAGAGAGGACATATGATGACAAAGTTAAAGATTATGGTATGATAACACTAGGACATAAGAAACTATCCTATACAAAAAAATAAAATCCAGTTATGAAATTTATCGTTAATTTACTATTAAATAGTATGATAATACTGAGACATAAGAGACTATCCTATATGAAAAATAAAAATAGTTATAAAATTTATTGCTAATTTATTGTTAAAAACTTGTAGTTAACAAGATTTTTTAATAATTTGTTGTCGATTCATAGTTAAATATGATAAATCGTGAATTATCTATCGTTTAATACATAATTTATGTAAAATTACATAATTTATCTATCGCCCATTTTTTTTTATAACTATCCGATTTTTGTTATTTAGTCCTTTGGGAACATATATATTAAATGTCTATGGAATTAACCTTACTTGAAAGCATTTTAAGATTTAAATCTTCAAGAATAATTTTTTTGAAGAATAAAACTAATTCCTTCTTAAAATTTTAAAATCACTTATTTTAAAAAATAAATAACTAAAAACATCACTTATTTTAAAACGAAGAAAGTATACGATATCAGAAACTCGTTGGAAATGACCATTGTGGTCATAAATAGGAGCTCTTTAATTTATGTTTCCTCCAACAATAACATGCCAATAAATTAAAAATGAAAATACAGACTCATCTATCATTTTAAATAAAATTATAACGTTGGATAATTAATGTAATCCAGACATATATAATTTAATTGACCCCATATAATATTAAAATTTCAGAATATTATTTATTTTGAATAAACAATCACGAATTTTACCGTTAGACAGTGCATGAACGGAGTGGCGTACCCGTTCTTGTGTTCCATATATAATATTAAATTTGGTCATGGTATACTACAAAATCTCGATACGAACATGAATTACGGTAGAATAGTTATGATTTATTTACCTTTAACAATC